GACGCCACACCGCAAAAAACACACACACACACGATGGCCAGCCAAAGGTTTGAAGTAACCACAGACTTCTGGATGTTCTAAATATAGGAGGGTTGATAGGATCTGTGGAAAAGGGCAGCCTGGGGAGTGCACACACACACACACACACACACACCAACACAATCAGCCTCCTACGCTCACCAAATTATATAGCAATGGTGGAGAATGGGAGAAAGCCGCTGACAGCTCAGATAAGCCTGTTGCAGAGAATCAGCCGTTCCTCGACACAGTTTGAAATAGTTTGACATAAAAGTGAAGAAATACAAATGTGCTGCCCGTGTGTGCTGCTCATGAGTGTGGGACTGATGCAGGAGGAGCCAGTAGAGAGAGCAGAGTTAATCCTGGGTCATATCTGCTCGAGACCCTGTTAGAGAAGACGTGTGTGTGTGTGTGTGTGTGTGTGTGTGTGTGTGTGTGCGTGTTGGCAGTGGAAGTGGTGTTTTTGGAACAGCCATCCAGAGTTAGCGAGCTTTAATGGTTAATTTAATTTACCAGCATCAGAATATCAGAGGGATCACGTTTCAGAGCAACAGGTGCTTCGGTTTAACGTGCGACCGTGTTACCTGGTGACTTTCAGCCGTGGTTGGTGTAGATAATAAACTCACACTCTAACTGTACACGGATCCGGAGAGTCAATCTGTTTAGGTTGCATTCGACATCTATGGAACACAGCCCAAACTATTTTAATAATCAATGAATTGTTTAGGTCTTAAATGAAGAACAAATGACACAATTTGCTGCTTTTTACCGCATTTTATCTTCTAAATGTCATATCTTTGGGGTTTTTAACTTCTTAAAGTGAAACAAAACAAGCAATGTTCAAGATGTTATTCTGGGCTCTAGACTAAACTTTGATGAATTGTTTAGGAATAGCTGATAATGAAAATAGTCGTTATTACTTGGAGCCATTATTTGCTGCCGTTTTTGCGAGTAAAAATAACAAAATGAAGCATTTAAAGATGCCAGGATGAAGACTAAATGTGGTTTATTTCTCAGGGTGTGTTGATGAGCATTACAGTCTGACAATGCAGTGCAAATGATAATAGAGGAGCTACTAAGACAAAAAAACATTGTAGGAGAGATTTAAGAAACAAAATATTAATTGTTAAAATGATTGGAATAACTGCCCTTTCTCTTCCTGAAGTCTCCATCTTTAACACACTGACAGTAGCATTTAAAAGTTAAACTTTGTTCTTGTTTCATTTTCTGTTTGTACAAAACAGTTAAGTATTCATTCTTTGCAGACCAAGTGCCAAAAAGCAGTTTACTCTGCAGAGTTATAACGGCTACGTTTATCTCATGCGATGGGAACTTAAGAACTTTCCCATCTGTAGAAGCATGAAGAGGTCATGTTGTCTTTCTGGCCAAGTGGAAATAACTTCAGACTTAAAGAGAGGTTGATATTTAGAGCTCGTTATGAAACCTAAATATTTTGTGCAAAGTGACCAGCAGCGTGTCTGCAGCAGAGAGTATTAGAAAGTAGCGCTGCAACTAACTCGCTATAATAATTTCATTGTCGATCAATATGTCAAATATTTTCCTGATTAATCGATTAGTTGTGTTGAGCAACGATGAGACTGAAAACAACATATCTTGTCCATGCTCCGTTATTCAAACTGCTTAGACACAAACTATGTGATCATCTCTGTGTGTGTGTGTGTGTCCTTGGGGAACTGTCCCAGGACCCCGGAACCTTCCAGAACACCGGGAACCGACCACAAAACAAACGGCCCCGTCAGCGTGATTTATCGGCCATTCACCGGCAGGTCACACACACACACACACACACACACACACACACACACACACACACACAAGCATCAATGAGCTCATATATGAAAGCCTGTCGACGGTCGAATGTGAAACATTTACCTGAAAGAATGTGGACACAAAAAAGATGCGCTCGGGCAGATGTGCACACAGAAGTTGCGTATGAAAGCGCGTATGGGAGGTGGGAGGGGCGCGCGCTTCTTTTGATATGATGAGAATGGCGACCCAAGAAAAAAAAAAAAAAAACAATGGACGAGAAGGCAAGAAAGAGAAGGAAATAAAAGAGCGAAGGAGCTGAATAACTTCCAAAAGGAGCGACGGAGTCAACCGATTCTGATCGGCTAAAAGAAAGAGGGAGGGAGGGGAGAGGATGGAGATGAGGAAGAGGAGGATGGAGCATGCGGTGGGAGCAAAGAGGAGGGGTTGAAGTAAACATCGATGCTGGATGAATAAAATTTTTCCCTTTTCTCCTTCTCCCCATCTTCCCCCCTTTCCTTCTCCTCCTCCGAGCGAGAGAACAAGAGGCACTACATCATCCCGACAGGCGGAGAAAGAGAAGAGAGGGAGAGAGAAAGAGGGATTGTGACGGAGGGATAAAGGGCTATCCGTCTCTGTCTGTCACCTCATTCATCGTCCCCTGCTCCGTCCTGCCGGCCCATCCGTCATCCGCTGTCACACACACACACACACACACACAAAAATACACTTTAAACACACTTTCACACACTCAACAACAACTATGACAAACACACACACACACACACGCATCAAAGACGGGCAGGCGGACACACAAACTTCGACTCGCTCTCCGCCCTGTTTCACACATTCACTCCGATGACATGAAACGGACACACACTCTACGCTCAGTTTCTCACACACACACACACACACACACACACACACACACACACTTTCACAGCAACGATGACAAACGCACACTGAAGCCAGAAAGCCACACAAACTTTTGCTTGGGCTCTCCGCCTATGCTTCACACATTCAGCGACGATGACAGACACACTAAAAGTCGCTGCCGGAGAGAATACGCTTGAGGGCGACGATGGAAAACACGCGCTTTCATGCACGTACGCACATCCCTGCCAAACACACAAAGTCGAAATGCGACACAGACACACACACACGCACACACGCTCCGCCCAACATCCTGAACACAGCGGAGACGTCCAGTTCTGTCCCTCCTCTGACTGGTTCCGCTCTGGGTTTTTTTTCCCAGGCCCCGAAACAAGACGCTCCGGTACACAGCCGGGACCGCTTCCTGCACTCGGCTGTTTCTAAACATCAGGTCTGTGGACCTGGGTCGGCTCACGGAGGGGGTGAAACTGGTACAGCGGTCCTGAAGCTGCTGTCGAGATTAACAGCACATTACTGCACCTGTTCAACGATGCAGGACGAGTGTTTGTAAAGACGCAGTCGCTAAAAATTCATGTTTTTTAATCCTTAAAACCCCAAAACAAAGTTTGATTCAAGCACAAGTCAGCATACAAGTCACTAGATGCTTCCTGCGTTATCTGTGGTCATGTACAGAACATCAAGTATTTTTGATCAGTCAACATGATTATTGTCTTGCAGCCATAAACGTCTTTGTGACCGTGTTAACTGGTGACTCTCAGCCTAATGCGTCCGGTGTTCGTGATGTCGGCAGCTGTTGAAAACACCAACAGAACAAACCTTCAATCCGTTTGAAATACAAACTCATCTGAGTTTATTATCAACACCAAGCACAAGCAACCATTGGGCTGAGAGTCACCAGTTAACACGGGCCACTGTTTGAACTGGAACACCTGTTGCTCTGAAACAACTCGAGATCCCGTCAGAATTGTGTAGAATTTGACTCCGCTGTCGGACAAATGGATTGTGACAACCGAGCATGCAACAAACCAGACATTCTGATGCTGGTAACCGTTTTAAATGAATGTTCAAAGCTCGCTAACTTGTCTGGATGAGAATATGAATAAGCAGCATGCTGAGGTCCTGTTCTGCTGTCTCAGGTTCTGTTGAGGTCAGTGTTGCTATAAATCACAGAGGGACTTTCTTCCCGGTGGAATAACGGGAAAGGGAGACACATTTTCCAATAATCCTTCTGACAGCTTCTGACATAACGACTTTTCAAGCCATTTCACTGAAGGAGACGTTTTTAATGTCAGAAAAGACAAGTTGTGCTATAAGTAAGGCCGTGATCTCGAGGTCATGAAAGCGGTCTTAAGTTAGTCATTTTCTCATCCTGACCTTCTGATAAACTCTGAAATGTTTATTTGTATCGTCTTTAGATTGTCTTCTAGCCTGTGACTTAAAACTCTGACTATCGAGATGTGAGAGGGTGTCGGACTCTGTTAAAAGTCTTTTTAAAGTCTTCTAGTCTTCTAAAAACACACCAAACAGAGGCGAAGCCTGGCTCGCCATAATAATGACATTTTTCCGGGACCGGGAAGCCGTGTTCTTCATGTGTTTCGGGCGGGTGCGACTACTCTCCGGCTGCACTCCGCCGCTTAAAGATGAACTTTCCTCACCTCACCGAGCTCGAGGCGGGCGCCGTCTGTTGCGTTTTTGTTGTCAAACATCAGACATTTGCAGATAAGAAGCTTCACCTAAATACAGTAAATCTTCTTTTGTTTGCACCTTGACAAGTTGATCTATTCATATCTTGCATTTGTTTGTTTTGTTGTAAACTTTCTTTGCATCTTTGAAGCTTGTGGATCAACGTATATATATTTTCTTTGGGGACATTTCTTTGCAATCATTTTGGTGCTTTTAATCTAAAAGACGGAGGACAAACGAGAGGATCTGATGAGAAAAGACGACAGCAGCGATGGATGCAAAATAAAGATAAGTCTGAAAAGATGAGAATGTGGGAATTTTAGAAGACGGTAGAAAAGGAGACAAAAAGAAGGATGGAAGTCGACAAACAAAGGATGAGAATGACATGAGATGGAGGGGGATTGTTGTTGAATAAAAGAGAAGAGGGTAAACAACAAAAAAATCAGAAAACCAAATGAAGGAGGAAGACGAGGAGGGGGTGGGGGGGGGGTGTGTGTGTGAGGGAGAATGGGAGGAAGGATGAAAAGGACAAGGGGGAGGAGGAGGTAGAAAAAAAAGATAGTGGAGAGAGAAAAAAAAAAAAAAACAGAGAAAGAGAAAACGAAGGAGAGAGGACCACGAGGGAGACAAAGACCTACTTGTCTCAAGTCACTGAAGGCCAGAAGCAACGTGTCACCCTGGAAGCCTGCGACCGGGCCGGCTCTGGCAAAACCTGTGGGAAAATACAAACCCGCCCCCCCCAGTCCTCCCCCGGAGAGAGGGAAGAGAGGAGGAGGAGGAGGGAAAAAAAGAGGGTGAAAAACGGAATAATAAAAGACCTGGTCGGATTCGCTATGCATCGGGATAGATTGGCAGACAAATGACAGCCGGGGGAGGAGGAGGAGGGGGAGGAGGGGGGAGGAAGGGGAGAGGAGGGCAGGGTGTTAGAGTCATGTCGCTGGGTCTTGTTGAAAGGGAGAAAGAGAGTGTGTGTGTGTGTGTGTGAGAAAGGTTTTGCAGTGTGTTTGTGTTGAATGTGTGTGGAAATTTTCGAGCATTTGTCTTGTTGAATGTGTGTGTGTGATGGTGTGAGAGAGAGTGTGTGTGTGTGTGTGTGTGTGTGTGTGTGTATCTGAGAGTGTGTGACAGTTGGTAGGCTTGTGGAGTGTGTGCGTGTGTTTATTTGTTGTTTGTACAGGGCTTCGCCTGCATGTTTGAGAACAGTTGAGGACTGTTGGATTTTGAACCCAGGGTGAGGCCTGTGTCTCTGTGTGTGTGTGTGTGTGTGTGTGTGTGTCGGGGTCGTACGGAGTGTGAGCTGGGGTCTTGGCGTCAGTTGGCCCCCGTAAACAAGCCGAGTGGTATTCTGAGCGAGGGAACGAGAGAAAAGAGGAGTGCCGCGAAGAGAGGGAGAGAGCAAGCCTGTAGCTAATCTCTTTCACCTCAGGACACACACACACACACACACACACACACACACACACACACTACAGCCCTGATTACACGCCTGTCATCTTCAGTGACCCCCATGACACACACACACAGGGCCGTGCTAAACTAACCTTTAATCTCGGTCTCCAACCAAACCTCCATGTCCCACCTGCTAACTTTTACCTTCTTCTTCACTCTTTTCTCCCTCTACCTTCACAAACATGATCACTACGAGCATTTCCTGGTGCGTCATCGGTTCGGTTGAGATTCGGCTCAAAAAACCCATCAGTGGAATATTTCGGTGATGGTGTCAAAATTGTCAAAATCTTCCACAAATAACACGATAATATTGTTTCGGTGAATTACTTTGGCCAAACACGACCATGTGGTGAAAATCAGATATTGTTACGATCCACTTTTTCTCCTCTTGACCAGTTTTGTTTCTTACTTTAAAGTGCACGTTCACATGCGCTACCAGTGAGAACATGGTGTCATATTCATTGTCATGTTTTGTCACCTCAGTCTTGTATCAGCTCCTCCTCGTCTGATTTTCCTCCTCCTCCATCTTCCCCCCCCCGGATCCATTTCATCTGTACCTCCTTTTCTTTTCATCCGACACAATCCTAAAATTCCTCTTTTTATTTAATCTCTAATTCCTCTCTCTTGTGCTCCCCGTCACTTCCTTCCTTTCACCCTTTAATCCCTCCTCTCATCCATGTTTTGCCCTCTCCTCTGCCCTTGCTTCCTTCTGTACTTGTGCTTTTCTTCTACTTCTCTTTTTTTATTCCACACCTTTCATTTAATCCCATTTTCTCTGCCCTCTTGTTCCTCAACCTCTTTGATCCCATTCGACTCCATCCTTCTACATTACCCTCTTTTATCATTTAATCCCTTCTCACTTTTAACACTCTCCAACAGAATACATTTGCTTCTCCTTCATTGAATAATGTTCTCTTATATCAGACATTTTTTCTTTATACATTTTCAATTTGATTTGGTTTATTCCTTCTTACATCCATTTGTTCATGAACTCATTGCTCTTCTTCTGTCAAATACTCCCTCTCTTGCTGTACTGTGTCTTACCTTCCATTTTTCATTTCACCCCCTTAAATTGAATCCATCACTCTCCTGCTTCTTCCCTCACCAGACTCCATTCTTCATTTCGTCTTTATAAACGTAGTGTAACGGCCCCTTATTCTCCCCCTTTATGCTCATAGCCTCCCATTTCTCCCCCTTAATCTATCCATCCACCTTGCACTTTTAACTTCACCCCCCCTATTTTTTACTAATCCCTTGTTCTTTTCCTCTCTCTCTCACCTCTCTCTGCTTCCTCTTCCAAGCTCTTTCTATCATTCATCCATCCTTTTTAAATGTAATCCCTCTTTCCCACCGTCTTGTGGTTTCTTTCTCCTTTTTGAATTATTCACATCCCTCAAATTTTTAGCTTATTTTCCTTTTCACCCGTCCCCCTACTGTATCCTCGTCTCACTCCGTCCTCCCCGATTGTCTTCCCTCCGTCTGGCCTGAATAAGTAACTCCGTAACCTCCTAACCCCTCGGCAGCCCTGCACGCATGTCACTGCTCATCACATCTCTCACACACACACACACACACACACACACACACACACACACACACACAC